AGACACGCATGCAAAGTGAAAAACTTGAAAAGCGGAGTTCTTGGATAATGTGTGTATGAGTGCACAAATCGATATCTGGTTAGGATGGGGGAGGTGTTGGGATATGTGTGTGATATGAAGTTTTGTGCGTAGCAAATAAAAACTTTGCCGACAAGAGTCCCAAAGTGAGTTTCTTGATAGAATCATGTTCGTTTTTAGAAACCACCTCGCGTTCGCCAACAAATGTTAAGCATTAAACACTGGGTATCGAGGATGCTTAAACGACCATAGACCAGAAGTAGTAGTCCTTTTACCAGCATTCAAAAAAAAATAATACTTTCTCATTCACTATTTGTCAAAAACAATACGCTATATTAATGCCCCTTTAAACAACGGAAACACTTCTCATTCACTTTCCTCGTGTTTCAGTAAACAAATTCGTTTATTATAAACAATATCCGAACGTAGAAACCATAAGTCAAATATGTCAAAATTTGTTTCTATATCCGGTAATAGTTCCCATTCATCTCATGAAAGTTTCTGAGCAAGCTCAATTTAAACCCTCCCAGCAGACTTTATAATATTTCTACAATATTGTGATATACATAACCGAGAGTAGATGCGTCTTCTTCATTGGATTCCATTATTTGCACCCGCATATACCGAGTCGTATAATTCGGAAATGGTATAATGTTCATACCCTGGATCATGTTCATATACCAAATTATGCGACTTTACTTAATCTCAATTCCATTTCGAAACATATCCTAATTACGTAATGCGTAATATTCCAATGATTTTCAAGATACAATGCCAACTGTAATTGCCGAATTCTCCAATCCAGCTTCTGCTATAGTTTGGTCGATATATTCGAAAAGCTGCTGACGATTGAATACAAGCTAGATATAACGAATTAGATTAAAAGTGACAATCGAAACATTAAAAACCGTTATGATAATAGTTCGGCTGATATACAATTACAAACAATACCTCAAACTGCTGTTCTGCTGCAGCAGGGACTGTGGCCTTGACGTACTCAAATAGATATCGAACAGGATCCGATTTGGCGAATCGTCGAATAATTCGCGATCCATCTGTAATAAACAGTTATGATAAGGATAATATTTATGATCGTGTTAGTAGTTAATATTCCGAAAAACTGAATTATTAATCACAGCAAAGCAGTAGTGACTCTTATCATTCGATGTTTGTTACGATATTAGCAAGATGTGAAATTCACCTGCAAGACGAAATTGTATTCGCGTTACTAATGGTCCTTCGGCTGGCTCTGCTCTTTCAGTTGGATGAATCATATCAAAGGCAGAAACTCCTTGTGATTCTACATATGATTAAGAGAATTAATTCGGAATAATAAAAAATCGCACATAGAAACAGTAACAAGAATACCATCATCACTTTGGTCTTCAATTTCCATAAAATCGATCGCGTCCGCTGGAAGTCGATTGTCTGCTGCCTCGTCTTCGTCCGATACATCTAAAAGCCTCTATAAAGCAATGTTCAAAAATTATTCCATGGGTATGTCTGGTATTGTCGTAGTTCTATATACATTATACAGAAACGGTCATCAACCTGGCTTGTAGATTGTGCGACGGCTGGCGATCTCGACGATGCAGCTTCCTTCAGAGAATATCGTTCCAAAAAGTCGGTGACTACGTGAATAGAACACAAACTTTAGAGCCATAAAAATCGAAAACGTCAGCAGTAGTGACTGACGCAATAATTGAAATTCAAGCTAACCAGCAATTATAAAGTCGTTCGGTGTTAATGAATAATTAAATGTCTTTAACCTCTCCCCTATAAGTCGAACATAGCGTTAACAGAGATTAGCAAATTATATATTAACAGTTCATCTTTGTGATAATAACAGACCAGTTCTTGGGTCGATGATGGCAATATGTGGGTAGTCGTCGAATTGATAGAAAGTCTTATATCGTCGCCCTTCCGAAGAATTAGCTGGAAGCTAATTAGCCAATACATAGTAGCTTAGTAAAATTGTCATGACAGGATCGAAAGTAATAGTCATTACTAATCTTATATACGATTGCTAAGTTGATAAAATTACTAGTTATAATTGTCATCGCAAAGACCTTTTGTTTTCAATTACCTGCATGAACAGAAAATCAGCCTTAACAACTGCCTTGACAGTTTGCTCGCTCCATAGATCACGGTTTAACACTTGACATGCAAACTCTGTATAATCATGAATGGTAACCATAAGCCATTTATTTTTTTCCTTTGCATCCTGGCGTACCTATATAATCAATAAATGATTAGCACGTCACGTTCAATCTTAATATACAAGAGAGCGTCAAACACCCTCATTAGAGGCCCGACCTGCTCAAAACCACCAGGCGTAATAAGATCAAAAGGGGGTCTAAACAGATCAGCTAATCGAGGACTCAACTTTGGATCATGTTGGCCTACAACATCGTTACAAATTTTATCAGTAAAAGTCCCTCGCTAGCTTCAATGTATCACTTGCTTGGTACCTGAAATATATGCGGAATCGAGTCGACTATCTCTGAGTCCATCAGTGACCTCTCTCACGACAGGTCGACGATTACTTGTTGCGCCAGATCTCCTGACTGCTTTATCCATTAGCATCAAAAAAATAAAGGTAATAAATTACACCAGTCCCGCTTCAATCAAATCATTTCGTTCACAATCAGAATTTATATCCATACTTTGCGAATACAACTCATCGTCCTCGTCCCTGAGTAGTATCTCTTGTCTTGGAGGAATAGGAGCGCGAACATCTTCAGCTGCAGCTAGCCGAGCAGCCAATGCTGCGTCGCTTTCTAATGTAGAATTACCAGTACGTGTATTGTCAAAAGTACTGGAAGTCGAGGTAGTGGGTTGCGAACTCTTTGAGTCTTGTAGAGTTTGCGCGAGGTCAACGCCACCACTTTCCAGATAGAGTGATACAGCTTGTTCAATATTGTTGTCTGACACCTGTTTTTTGTTTGTATGAAGAATGACTCGCTTGAGTAAATAACGACCTGAGCAGGAATACGGAGCAGATATTGGCACAAAGACTGAGGCTGCATACCGTCAAATAGCTCGCGGCTACTTCAGGTGTAGCTCCCGTAACATTGCAAAAGTCTGATAGTGCTTTGTCGTTTCGCGGACTTTCATCCATATTTAACAGTGTAAAGAGAGTAAGATTCTCTGTTATTTTTACTTGTCAAACTTATGGTTGTCGCTATTGCGTACGCAGCACGTCACCAAAGAATGACGCAACGTTGTGTATGCATTCTTCAACGAATACAGTAATGTCGTCACACTATCCAAAGCATAATAAAATATGATTCATCCATCTCATCAAGTATTCCGGTCTTCTATTTCCCACTTGCTTTACGGATTATAATAAAAACGCGCTTGATTCGTTAAATTTTCAAAATTGACCTGGAAGTTACCATTTCTGGGACATCATTTGATGTGAGACGTTATACCAATACTCTGTTTATAAGGGGCGTAGGTCCGGAGCAGTACTCCGGAGTCCGGAGTATGTGTGTTTGGGGGTTATTTGGTTAAATGAGGCGTATGAGTTGTGGCGGCTGCAGTTGTGATATAATAGGTTTCGTTCTTTTCGGTGGCGGCCTCACTATTAACCTGTTTTGGTAATCGATTTATTCAAGCCAAGATTGATTAGAATACTAATACTAATACTCTTAATTTAGCTTAAAAAGCTCTACTACTACGCGTCTACGTCAGTTAATTTTTTACGGCCGGCGCTAAACCAATAAAATTTAATGCAATTGACTATAAGACAAGTATTTCCTGCTAGATGTTGTCCAGGCTTCCTTAATCTTAATATTATTTATTACTACCAACAATAATTCTTTATCGAAAGTATATATTTATTTAGATGGTGATGTTTGATGCGTAGTATGGCCATCCCTTTATTAATTGGCTCAACGAGAATGTCTCAACGGTAGCAAGTTTTTCTTGGCTGCATTATTTGTGGGCAGTCTTTGCTTTTTGAAACAATAGATTGGCCGTAATCACTAACTAATAGTCAGCATTAAGCATATTAGTACTCCCGAAACTTTCTTTTGTTTGAGATGAGGCTTCTCTATAACATTTCAAGTGGCATCATATCAATGAGCCATTTGTCTCCGGCATCAATAAACTCCAGTAAGGTTAGGAGACCGAAAATGTGAGAATTAGTTTGTTTCAGTATTTGTAGTTATGCTTTATTTAAATTCCATCTCTGATACTGGCTGCCTTTTGCTTAATTATGTACAGAGTATAAGTTAAAGAGAATGTCATTCCATTACATTATCTTATGCCAAGACATTCTCAATCAATGATACTGCCGGGTCTAATTTGAACCCTATTTAACAGGTTATATTCCATCCAGTAAGGGACCAAAGACATTCTCATCTAACCTTCTCAACGCGTCAAAGTCCTATAAACAGTTGTCGCCATTCAGGTTCAAGTTACAAGAAACTTAACAAGATCATAACAATAATGCTGACCTTTGTAATCGTAGTATTAGGAGTACACGTTGACTTCAAAAGCTTACAAACGTTGCGTAGCTTATTCTTCAAATCGTTAATTGTCATCGACGCATCTCTATCTTAACATCAAATTTTTGCAAGTTAGATTAACGTTCTGTTCTGTACCCATATTCTTGACGCGTAAAATAAGATGACTACAAACAAAAATACCTGCTTCAAAGTGATAAAGTTCTTTCCATGATGTGACTACTGCTTTCAATATCTTACCTTCGTAAGGAGGGATCCTATGCCATTAACGAATGAGTAATTGAAGAAATTCTATTCGTGTTTATCGTCATTGATATTGGTATATCGCTCCGTACATCACCAGCACCAATACTAGTAGCGATACCAAATTCCAAAGATATAAATTAGATCGCCAACCTTGGCCAACATATGCGGATCGTCGTTTGGAGTCCCTCCGCTGCACTAAGATGCATCTCAACTATTTCATCGTTACCAGGAATATCCAGAGGAATCTCTAATGTCTTACATTGTGCATCCACTAGTTCCTACAGGTACAGTAATATTAGACAGATTATACGAAGGAATGAGTTTGTGCAATATTCTTCTACTGATAACTAATAAATTATGGGAAACAAATAATCTAATTAAAATAATACTACATCTTATTATTAAATACATATATTACTACACATCCATTTATAACCACTAACCTTTAAATATTTCACAGCCACAATGTCCAAATATTCGACGAGAACCGGAATCTGCTCAAGCAAGACCCGCCTTATTACTATTATGTCTCCAGCCATTACTAATCCTCTCAACACATGTGATCTCAATATTTTCTCATGCTTGCTAAACCATGCCTCTGAACCCCTGGACTCGGCTACCGAGACAAGGTTAAGCATGGCGGAATAGCTTGGACGCAGGAATTGTGCGTGGGATACCTCACTCTGATACATCAAGCATGCCGATATGGCCTAAAGCAAGTCGATCGCAACGTTCCATGACATGATAATTAGTTTGAATAGATACATAGACTAATAAATGTTGCAAGAATACATAAATAGCCGTGTTTTTTATATAAATGTCTGGCTATCAGATGGAGTGTATGCTATACGTGGCAAGACGCTGTACCTCGTAGAAAACGTTTCCCAATCCTGTTCTTTGGATTATTGTCGGATTTACTTTCCTCAGAATCTGATCTAGTATTGTTATTCCACGAGTCTTCAGTGTGACATCAAAATTGTCGAGTAATGTTAACGTTGGTGGAATAAGAAATTGTATCATATTGTTGATTGCTGGGGGCTTCACTTACGCATTGAAAATAAGGAATTGTAATAGCGTCGTTAGCAATTACAGTCATGGTGATGCAAGTATATGCGCCTATTTTTATGTAGTAGTACTATTCGTCTTACTAGTCATTTTAATAAAGCGAATATCGCTTACCCTCATTCGACACACCATCCACTCTATCACACGCGCAGCCGGCTCAATATCAACTCTCCAAGAAGTATCTTCAGCAGGCAACTCGTATTTGCGGGCTATGGATGGTCTTGTGGTTGTTCTTATTGATGTCTTTGATTTCCCATTTCCAACATTCATCTCGGAAGAATAGCGCATAAATGCCGGCTTAATATATTTATTCATTATATTAAGAACAAACGTCTCAACCAGAGTTTCTATATCGCGAAACCTCGGCTGTGCTTCATGTAAATTAGTGATCACGCCTAGTAATAAATGATAATAATAATGCTAGTGTGATTATATCACTCAAGCGCGTTCACCCACCCGATCTCTCTTGCGATCATTATTAAACGCTGTATCAATCAATGTTTAAGAAAAGAATACCATGAGCTAGCTCTTTCAAAGACGCGTTCGACCAAGGCTCTTCTCCCAGATACAAAATACAAGTCCACAAGCAGTCCCCAATTAACTCATCGCTTAGCTGCTCTTCTTGTTTAACTAATTGCCTGAGAGCAGCAAGGGCTAATTCAGCCTGAGCTTTGAAAGCATTAGCAAAATCGTCGTCTAAACGCAATACATAGCATCTTGTCAGCAGAGAAGCCGAAGTTTGTGGGTTGGTAGACAAGGATTATTAAGGCTAACCAGACGTTTGGGCATTGAGGTAGAAGTAAGCAGGTATGCGGAGAGAGTTTAGTAGAGCTTCCAAAGAGAAAGGGTTATCTGACATTTTTGAATTTGGGGAAAGAATAAACGACGGTATTTAACACTAACACAGAAATTTATTGTCTAAACTGTGCCACTTGTATTATTTCGTATATAATACAGTAATGATGGTCAATATTATTATTATTATATTACTACAAATCACCCAAAACCGATTATGATTAAACCGTGATTCATTTCATCTCTAATAAACGTTCGACGAATTCAACTTCCATCTAGTCTCTGCCGCATGTCTTGCAACCATCGTATAAGCTGACTCTTGGACGACCCTGTTGCGACACGCAATGCCATTATTACAAGTGATTTCTTCTGTTCTTGTGAGTATTTACTTTCCTCTTCAACTTCTAAAAGCTTATTTTTGATATTGCTCTCATCATAATCTAAGTAATTTAAACGATAAAAAACGTTAATAAACGGCAAAAAACGTTAGTAAACGTTTTACAACGCTAAAAAATATTTGACAACAAATTTATTCGCTTTTTATTATAACACAAATAATTAGTCAGTTGAGCATAAATTATATAAGCATAGGAAATTTTGTGCAAGCTTATCATTATGTAACTCGAGCGTATGTTATTACCTTCTTTCTTTATCTCTTCTATTAACCAGTTTACTGCTGGCAGGACCGGGTGGTATGAATTTTCATTATTATAAAGATACCGGTCAGCGCTGCTCATGGAATCCGATACGGGAGTTGTCCTCTTGTGAGTATTGCTATATGATTTATCCAATAGTGTTTGCAATTGTCGCACCACATCTTTCCTTTCCGAACCAAGTGCTAGAATTCGTAAAGACCGTATGAACGCGGCCACTTGTTCCTTGGTATAATCATTTGAACTTTCTAAATCTCGTATAATATCAGATATTCGATTGATACTGTCATCTTCAAAAGGGAAATTTATTAATAAATTTGATCAAATAACACAGAATAGAAATTTATGTAACATACCTGTTCTGTCGGATTTAATTATTTCCATTAGTTTCCTCTTGGCGTCAAGTAACAATCCCGATATGCTATCGACTGAGATGGAAGAGTCTTCTCTTGAATTTTGATCAATGACTTCGACACCTATATTGGTCGCGTTTCCGTTGACAGTGTTCAGATCAGACAGCTCCATTTCCGAATCAATATCAACACCAGTAGGTATCTCTCCATCTTCAAATATTCTGTTCGCTGCCTCAATTGTCTTGCCTTCATCTTTCTGCGAGAAGATCGTCGCTGTTCTATTAACAATCTCTTCGACTTCAGCCTCCTGTTTCAATTCTCCTTCTTCTTCATCAACATCCATCAATTCAACCTCCTCTTGTTGGTGAACTGTCGTAGTAATGGTGTTGTTGGTCTTGTTGTCAACGCCGTTAGGAGCCACCGCTGGTATCACCTGACTACTACTTTCACCATTATCCTGCATAGGTACCGCTGCAAACCCTGCGTTTGCGGGAGCAGTAAGTATTCCACGCGACTCGTTGTTATCATTATCCGATTCTTTTGACTCTGTTCTTCCATCCCATGGTACATGCAATGATAGAGATTCCACTGCTGGCATAGAGAAATGCAAATGAGCTCCTGGTAATTCTATTCTTTCATCCACTGACGCATTCTTAAGCGTCAATGACTGAGATTCTGATGCAGCAATGGTTGTAGACGACCGAGCTTCGAGCATCAGATTTCTTCTCTGGCCTTTCTTGGCCACTGTTAGTTTCTCTCGTCGGAGTTTAATCGATAAAGCCGGGATTCCAGCTTCTGGTATTCCATTAAACATCACTTGGGTGTCTATATATTGTGGTTCTATATGGCGCCATTTTCTTGGAGACGCTGATGGCGCAAGTCCATTTGAGGGAGATGTATTGGGAACTTCTGCTTCGTTTGATGCACGTATGTTTGGAGAAGCTTCACCCGCTTCATCTATTGAAATCTGTCGAGAACTTAACTTGTGAGCGATGCAAGGGCATGGATAAATAATAAGTGTAGTTTATGCTGAAACATACTCCTTCATTCGTATTACTTCTGTACATATTGTTTCCAACAGTGTATCGACGTGCTCGTTTTCTGTCCATGTCATCGAACTCATATGGGTTCCTTAACATCGATGCGAATTGTTTCTGCATTGCAGCATGGTATTCACCCATTTGAGAAACAGGCAAGGAATGACGCGTATCTGCAAAAGAATGTCCCACAGGCAATATTAGCATGACAGCCTGCGGCGTTTTGGGTTGATCCAACTTGGTTTAACCATATTTTTAATTACTACTGTTTATTTGACAAGTTACCTTCATCTGATGTGTCATTAATTTTGTTTCTTCCAATGGTTCCATTTACGCCTTGAGCTCCTATCTCTTTGAAAAATGCCCGCTTCAATTGTGTCATAGTACTGACAAGTAAACTACGCGGAACATTAGAAGAGTCTTCGTATAGAGATATTTTCTGTAATTGCATAGAATATTCTCATGTCGTAGAGTCAATCAGGAGGACAAAAGTTGGGACAATATAACAGTTTTGCGTTACAACTTCAATGTTATAATCTCTCTAGCTTTAAAACACAGACACACCTTTTCAGCAGCTACAGGAGCCAATGCTGCAGCCTAATAATATGCATTTAGTTAAAACGCACGTAATGATACAAATATGCAATGAATAAGCAATCAGTCAACTCTCACCTTGACACGACCATCTAAGCGCTCTAGCCATTCATTTGCACTTTTTTTGATTTCTGATATATACGCGTCTAATTCGTCAGTACGTATATTCAGCGGGCTAAACGCTTGAATGAGCTGCGCATACGATGGCATATTGTTTCTTAATCGCTGACAATATCGGCGCAATAAAAAAATGTTACTTGGTGACCCATGATATAATAAATAGAGTCTATCTAAGAATTCTGTTACCTCATGATAATACCATGGGATCGATTCCATGTAATTCTTCATTGACTTGACCCACTCGGGTGACATCCTGTTGACATCTATGTAAGGTAAAGCTATTGTAATGGGACAGTTGTCAATAAACACGTTTACGCTATTTCTAATAAAGGTCATTTTCCCACTTACGATTATACTTTTCCAGCAGGCCAAACAAAGCAGGGTAATTATATGGTAACACAACCAAATAAACTCGGTTTTCTGAAGCGGCCAGAAATCCAAATGGTTCACCAAACGCCCTCCTACTATCGCCTCCGCTGTCTTTGATATAGACCTGAAAATGAACGCACGACGAATAAGCTCATGAATGACGAATGCGTAATGATGATGTGCAAATAAATTGCTGCGTGAGCGATAACTACAGGCCATTGTGTTCCTATGCCACTTCTCATCAACTCTGTGGTCATTTCACACTTTTCCACGCGAAATTGTTCATAGACTATTCCTTGGGGTATGTGAAAACGACGATCACAAGCTTCGTAGAATATAGTCGGTAAATAGTTGCGTTTCTTGTAGTGTATATTGAGCACAAACAGATAACAAGATAAGAAGAGGTAATAGTAAAATCAATCCGATATAAACAAGTTGCATGATTGTACACGGACAATTAACTAACCGACATCCTTATAGAGCCAAGAGACTCGCGTGGAACCCAGAAATTTTCCGGAATACACCAGGCATTATCTGCAATTATGTATGGAACCTCCCCTGACAGGCCATTTTTCTCCACAAAAAGAAATTTCCTATGATTTTTATCGTTTGGAGTCGTTATTCCTTGTGATGGAGTCAATAGTGAGAACAGGAAATAATAGACTGATACGGGATAACGGATAAAAAGCTTGTAATTTACCCCCTCGCATTTCTTGGAAATTAACGAGTACACCTTCATTCGTGAATATTCTATCACCTCTCGGTCTCGCCCTGTCCGTTCTGTCAGTTTCCACCATTGATGCGATTTGTTGCACCATCATTCGACTATCGTATATTCTATACAGCTTGCCTTGTGTGTAGAATGTAAAGACTAAGCAACTCATAAACCCAATTCAATTCTCAATACTGGTATTCCCATACCTCTAACATTCTCTGTGAATTCTTGTATATATTGAGCTGTAGGAGACTCATCTGACTCTAGTATGAACGTGTATAGTTTCTGATCCCACCTGAGAGGTTCATTATAGAGGTGCACTCCAGGCGTATTGAGTTCAATATTCTTTAGCTATCGAGTAATTGCAATCATACGTATATCGTATTAGTATTCCGTTACTGATTCCATATTCGACAAATCACTCGTGTCTATTAATTACCTTCTCTCGTACCGTCCTATCGCGTAAATCTTCGACATCGGTACAATCTCCGCCATCCGTGAACCATAATATCAACGAGTTATTTACAGGTGCTGGGTATCTTCCCTGTAAATCACAAGAAGCAATTAATGTCTGGCTTGTTATAGCCATTTGTAAATATATCATGAAAGAGATCAACAGTGCTGATTAGCATACTCTGCAAATTGTATCCATGCCCATTGATAGCCTGTATGCATCGAGTATTTCTAATGCTGCTGCAAAAGCAGCTGCTGGATTTGACATGTCTTGTGCTTTAAGCATCTTCAACTGAGCTAACAACTTTTCGCTTCCGTCTTTAAGAGACGACTATATTACAGAGAATAGGATCAGCATGTCTACACAATATGTATATACATATATATAAATAAATATTTACAAAAGTAACAGATCTTCTAATCCATCATCTTTAACCTACCTTTACTCTTCCGTCTCCATTCTCGTACGTGACCAACACGTATTTATCCACTTTGTCCACTCTGTCAGCATAGAACCATCTATTCTTTTCGTCATTCATTTCCTACAAACGGTAATAAGGGAATAAACTGATCAATCGATGAAATAAATCTAAATATTGTGGACCTAATAGCAGATTTCCCAGTCGAGAATAGATTTAGGGAGATCGAAGGTCTTTATGTGAACGGACACCGTAGTATCAACAAAAAGATAAATACTTTGAAAAAGGTTTCAATGCCTGACTTGGCACACTCAAAAGCAGACAGGTTATCGGCAAATCGCCTATTCATGGACACGCTAGTATCTAATATGAATATCACAATCATTTTGCATTCTTGTCAAAGCGAGGAAAGTGTTAAATTCGATTTTAAATCAATCGATCAATGAAATCATGTGCTAGCTATAGCCAAGTAAGGAAAAAAAGATATTGTCATTGTTTGTGTAACATTTAACGGAGGATAATCTTTTACCAATCAAAAGACTGCTCTGGAGAATTAGCTACCTAGCTAGTGACCGAGAATGTACTAACATCGATTCAGCTTTAAAATCACGTGATTACGTTTAATTATAAATGCTATCCTATTTTTTTCTTAACGCAATGGTGTAACCCATGGAATATACGAGGATTAATATCTTGTTCGCGTTAAACGTTTCCGACTTTCTAGCAAAGGTTCAACGAACAAACTCACTTTGAGAATGAAAATGTTATAGTTCTATAGTTGGACTGGTTTAATAAAAAATAATGTTTCCAAAGAAATATTAGAAGAATGCTGCTATTTACTAATCAATAGGTTTAGATATCCATGACTAGCGTCAAGCTAGTAAGACCGAGCCATTTCATCTGTAATGAGGCGAAAATTATCATACCTTCCAAATACTCACAAGAATCACGAACCGATTTTATTCGCGCGACTTGATATTTATCTTTAGGCTCATTCTTGAAACGTACCCGTTATATTAACGGACTAGTCGAACTCGCAAAATAAATAGTCGGGTGCATAACTAAAATCGTAAACATTTCAAACCCGTTGATCGTAAAATGAGGGAACGATGGGTCGTCACTTCTTTCCTAACAGTCTCTACAGCCAGTGATTCGGCTCAAGGTGACAAAGTACTATTACTGAAACGAAGTGACAAAGTTGGTACATATCAGTGCGTATACACAAATTACTTCTTGTCGTTCTCTTTCCCTTATCATTACATTTCCGTTGAGACATTTCGTATCTCAACAGACATCACTGGGCAGCTGTCAGTGGCAGTATAGAACCAACCGACACGTCACCTCTATCACGAGCTTTGATTGAAATCCAAGAAGAAACTACGCTCACTTCGGCTGACCTTGAACTCGTGCGTGTTGGCCGAGTGCTGACAATCTACGCACCCAACCTATCCACGGTCTGGAAGGTGCACCCGTTTCTATTTAGGGTGTTATGCGATGCTAGCAAAATCACCATTGATTGGGAACATGAAAAGTATGAATGGATCACTCCCGACGAATTGGAGCATTATCAGACCGTGCCTAATCTTGTAGAGACCTTTTATCGTGTGTATCTCCCCGAGCACGTTCATAGCAGTTTGATGGATATGTATAATAACAGATCGTCTGGAGCACAGCAATTGGCTGCCGAGGCGTTGAATACTATGGATGAAGTTGTTAGATTGAAGTCGTTGAGAACATATTGTAAAAATGCAAAAGAAATGTTTTACGCAATGCTTAATATCGGTTGGTATTTTACTCAGATTAGGCCGACTATGAAAGCTCCTATCATATATGCAGTCGTGCAAGTAATGTCAAAGTCGAGGGAAATATTAGAACAAGAAGGTGGAAATGAGAGTGGGATCTCTGTAGAAGAGTACGAGCAAAAAATGTTAGATATCATTGATGGGATTAAACAATCCTCGAAAGATGCAGATAGAAAGATAGTTAACCATTTCCTTCAACTAACTCTAAACGCTGAATCGTCCCCATCTCATCTTCACATAATGACCATCAGTTACTCATCGACAATATATTCCTCACTTTTGTCTCTTATTCAATCTATCCAATCCCTCCCTGACCATACTCTCAAGATTACAATCATGGAATCCCGCCCTCTCAATGAGGGTTCAATAGGTCTCGCGCGCAAGCTTCTCAATAACTTGCCCGAGACGGCTAAACCTCGAGTGGAGATACAAATTATAACTGATGCGTCGTGTGCTTATTTTATGCCAACTGTCACTCATGTTATCATTGGCGCTGATCGAATCGCAGGAAAAGATGCAACGGTAATCAACAAGATTGGTTCATTTCCCTTGGCTCTATCGGCAAAATACCATGATAAACCGATAATCGTGGTCACTAGGACAGACAAATTAGCGTCTACAGACGAAGGAGAACAGTTAGAAGAGAACGCAGCCGAGGAGGTAGTGAGTATGTATGAAAATTGGAGCAAATTTGGCACAAACAAGAATATTAGGGTTAGAAACGTGTACTTTGAAAGTCTAGAACCAAAATTGATCAATGGATATGTTACTGAACATGGCGTGTTGAAGGCCAATGATATCATCAATATTTGGCAAGGAAGGAAAGATGACGAGAAATTCTTTGATTTATTAGAAGAATAGACATTTGTATCTGTATGGAAGTGTGTTTTCTGAAAAAGAAAAAGTTTAAAATGGAATACAAAGAATCGTAGAATACATTTAAAGATTTGTCATTGACATACCATTAGTATTAATATAATCTTATTTCAAACTGTTCACGATTTGTTATCGACGTATCATTAACATTAATATAAACTTATTCCAAACACTTAACTACCGTGTATCCATCCGATCTGATGCTGATGCCTTTATCTTGTTCCATTCATCCATATACTCTTTACTTGTGTATTTTTTCTCCCTCTCCTCCTTTTTGTTATCTTCACCCTCCTCTTTCTCTTCCTCCTCTTCTTCCTTATAATAATTTCCTCCATTGGCTGCCGAGTTTTCATAACCACCCTCGTCATCTTCCTCTTCGAGTAGTTTATGTGCCATGCGTATGGCCTCTTTCATGTTGTAGTGCTGTGCACGCATTTGAAGGAATTTGCGATGTTTCTCACGAGCTATGATAAAAGTGGATTGATATTTGTTATTGTAATATCTACATGCATTCATTCTGGAATATATTCATTAAGCTTACTACTTTTATAGACAACAAAGAGTTCACATGACAAAGCTCTCTTTACCTTCCTCATCATCTTCATCGCCGGACCAATCGTCGTCCTTGATATCATCAGGAAAGTGTGCTGATGATGGTGACGAAGACGACATTGATCCAACGGGAGAGACACTAGACGAACCCAAGGCTAACCCTGGAATGGCTATAAAGTAATAGATTGGAAGCATTCGTTCAGACAACAGTAAGTCGAGAAAAGGAAAGTTGGCAATCATAAAGTACGGGAAGCTTACTCTCTAAATCAGTCATGATTTCATCTGTCTCCTGGTTGTAACGAATATACGGGGTCGGAGGCTCTGTTATTTTCATTGTCGCCGACTTTTGAGATTCCGTATATTGCAAATTGTCTTCGTCCCATTTTAGTCTACAGAACAGCAGAAACCCCGATTAGTGCGAACAAACTACAAAACCAACTATAATCGTAACCTGAACGTACTTTGGTGTCTTTGGCTGTAAATTGATTGATGTGTTTTTGAGTATTCCTCTCGGTTTTGTCTCTGATGCCATATAGTTGGCGATGTGTAGTTATTATATAGTACGTAAGGTATTATTAACAAAAAAGTGCGAGGGGCACAAAAAAAATTGTAATTAGTGATTGTCACGAGAGGTGGCCATTGGCGCAGCAAGTTGCAACCTTTCAACAAGGCTGCATTGTGCTTGCTCAATTACGAAATTAAGTTTAGTCTCCGCAAAATAACGTAATTAATGTTTATCATCAAAAATTTCACATATTTAAACATCACCTGATATAATATCGGAAATAGAAATGCGATCTCACGCCTTCACCCTAAATAAAGATCCTCATCCCCCTCCGATAATTATCCATTTTCACACCATTGCCGAAGCAAGAAAAGAATGTCAAATCAATCGAAAATACAATCTCAATCCCTTCCGAAAGCTCTGCTGCTTGGGTATTTGAACCAACTACAAACACATCCTCTACGAACAAAAGCAATAACTTCGGGTTTACTATCCGGATTACAAGAGTATGTTGCTCAGGAGTTGAGTGGCACTAGTCGACAGCGAAAAGGGAAAAGGAGAGCGGATTACATAGGCAATTATGCAGGTCTCGACGAGAAGGTTGTTAAGATGGCTTTGTATGGTTGGTAATTGAGTGGATAATGGGGCGACGGTTTGGATTAGAGAGACTTTGATAGTAATGATATAGCGATTATGATGTGTTGGTGCTTCGGAGATGATTTGGGACTGCCACTAAGCTGATACAGAGAATGTGTTTGCTTGCTTTACAACGCATTCATTCAGGTTTCTTTATCAGCGGCCCTCTTAATCATGTCATGTTTGAGACACTGAATAGAGCGTTTAAAGGACGTACTGGCGCTGGCGCCAAGCTGTTGCAGATTGTTGCCTCTCAAGTACTTATCACTCCTATTCAGAACACAGGTAGAAGCTTCATTTATCGTCATGATCCGTATACTTCATTCGGCAAAATGTAGCTTGTATATGACATTCTAACACGTACTCTATCATTAGTCTATTTGATAGCTATGGCTATCATAGCTGGAATGAGTAAACCAGGGCAAATATATGCGTCTGTTAAACGATCTATCTTACCTATTCTGACAATGTCTTGGACTGTCTCTCCTATTGCTATTGGATTTGCTCAGAAGTTCTTACCTCCACAATTGTGGGTGCCATTCTTTAACTGTGTCGGGTAAGAATTCTCGGTTGCACTTGACTGACCATAACTAGCGTTTTTCTTAAAGATTGTCAATGACCACTTGATACTATTATCTAATCTCTTGATTCCATTCTGCTCAGCTTCATATTTGGTGTGATAGCTAATACCAAGGCAAAACGCGTACAGTCACAAAACAAAGAGGAACATGATTCGCATAAGTAAAACTACGTAGCTAGTTGGATCTAGAGGATCATGATGCAGATATCCCACGTCAAATCAATTCTCGGTTGAAACCTTTTGTAAATCTACTATGCATATGTTCAGTTGTTTCACACTGTTATATACACTGACTGGCATATCACTATTAAAAACAAGATAATAATAATTTTTGGCATCGTCAATTTGAATTATTAATTGATGCCGTGCTACTAAAAGCTAGAATAGAAGAATAATAACGTTATAAATATACTAACCTGTACGATGGATAGTCCACACAACCATGTCACATATAATTGTATAATGTTCTTTTCTCTTTATGTATACAGATAAGGACGCGCTGTCTAACGCGATCCTTGTAGAAACGGTCGACAGGATAAAGCAATTGTGTGTGTCCCCGAGTTAATCTGAGCCTGTCATCAGTTTAGCTTTTAAAAGCCTATGGTCTGGAACTCCTACGTGCCTGATACATTCTATCAGAAGTTACTTTTTGTCAATATTCTGAATCTTCTGTTTCCGAATTTTTATCGAAATCAGATACTCAGACTGATAAAAAGAAGGAGCTTAATAACGCTCAAGATGGCGAGTCGAGATACTTTTATGCAAATCTTCAAACGCGACAATCTGTAATCGAGCAAAGCCAGGAAAACATTTAATCTACGACATCGGACCATTGAGTTGACTACACATAATCGACGACTTGGAACCGACTTCATTGTGTTTATAAGGGTTTGGCATGTGTTTTGCGTCTATAGAATGTCCCTATATAGAAATACTTCTTACTTTATTAGTGACCATATGACGGACAACAATATGTATATGCTTGAAACTGTGTGACATTCCGGATTCGTATTCAATGCTACATGTTTTTTTACTATTATTTGCCAAACGTGCGAGAGAGAGACTTTGACTCAACAATCGTCAAAAACATGTCTTCATCCCAAGAACCCGAAGATCCTATTAAATACTTGGAAATGAGTTCTAAGTATATCAAGCATTATCCAGACGAAAATCTCATCAATAAAGAGGAGATTGCAAGTGGTGGATTCGGAGTTGTCCACAAAGCAACGGACAAACTATCAGGAATCACCGTTGCAATGAAATCATTACGTCCTGTAAATAAAAATGAGAGTGGCAAAATATATGCTGCATTTGTTCAGGAGGTTAGTCATCGTGTTTTCTTATTGCCAATCAGCTTTCATGAGTTAGATAACAAATACCAAATTATCGTGCTGTAGTTCAAATATCATAAGGAAGTAAACAATCACCCAAATATCATTCGATTTCTTGGACTAAACAAAAGTAAGTCTCAATGATTAAGTTGACTGTCTTTACTGCCTATTGATATATCAATAGTTTCAACAATTTTATACTATTAGCATTAGGTGAGGGGTTCACATATAGCATGATCTTTGAGTTTGCAAATGGAGGAACTCTACATGACTATCTGATGGATCACAAGGATTTACCGTGGAGAGATAGAACAAGACTAGGTCTAGAAGTTACGAATGCGTTGAAATATTTGCATAATGAGCACATCATCCATAAAGATTTGGTATGTCATTCTACTATAATATAAGTAGTTTTCTCCCGTAGATGCTTACTAAATGATGTACTCTACGTTTTCGTGTAGTGTTCCAGCAACATTCTTGTTCATGAGGAAACTGCAAAACTGGCTGATTTTGGATGCTCTAGTGAGCTTGCAAATATAGTGCCCACATCCAATCGTCTCGGGAAAGTGGCATATATGGATCCACAAACAAAAAACAGTGAGTACAAACGCGGAAAGAAATCTGATATTTACAGTTTAGGAATACTTCTTTGGGAAATAGCTAGCGGTGAAAGACCGTTTAAGGATATGGACGACGCTCAGATCACGATCGGTGTATTTATACATGACCGCCGTCCTGATGATGAGGATGAGGATGAGGATGCCCCCGTAAGACCTGAAGAGTATGTCAGTTTATATTCACAATGTTGGGATCGTGATCCCAACAAACGACCAGATTGCGAAGAAGTATATAAGAGATTGGATTTAATCGTTAAACAAGCGCAAGAACAAGCACAGCTTCACCAAGAATCATCCAATGAGGCTTCAATAAAAAAGACTGATCAAACGGTGAAAAAGGTAGAATTACGAGGTCATAAGCTTGCTATCCAGATAATAAAGGTTCACGATATTGAGTCATTGCAAGGTGCTACATTTAAGGGGATAATTAGAAAAATTAAAAGTTGGCTCGATGAAAACAATCATAAGGAAGATGATACTCTCAGTCAGCTGACGTCTCACGAAGACTGTGATAAATGTATCTTTTTGGTTGGATTATTTAATGCAGGTGGTGTAGGAACTGTTGTAAATCGAAATAACGCGCACAATTATTTTATGCGCTCATATAAAAAAGGAAACAAACAAGCAACATTTTGGTTTGGAATGTGTTTTGTTAACGGATGGGGAGTGAGTTCAGACATAATCAGAGCGTCAAAGATTATTGAAGAAGCAGCCAATTTGGGCTATGCACCTGCAGAATGTCTTATTGCTATATGGTACCAAAAGGGTAAAGGAGTATATACGGATAAAGGGAAAGCAGTTGAATTCTTTAAAAAAGCATCAGATCAGGGCCACGTAATCGCTCAATATCAGCTTGGTGAATGTTATTATAAGGGTATTGGAGTGAACACAGATATGTGGGAAGCTACTCAGTGTTATCAGAAAGCAGCGGATCAAGGTTTTGCTGATGCTCAATACAAGCTTGGATATTGTTATTACTACGCTTATGGGGTGTTGGTGGATGATCACAAAGCAGTTGCACTTTATAAACTGGCAGCTGATCAAACCCATCTAAAAGCACAAGCTGCTCTCGGAGAATGTTATGAAACTGGTAGTGGAGTGACCAAGGATACGAAAAAAGCAATTGAGTTGTATGAAAAGGCTGCTAATGCGAATGGTAGTGATGCACAATGGCGCCTTGGTAAATGCTATGAATCTGGAATTGGCGTAGAAAAAGATTTAAAGAAAGCAAAGGAATTTTATCAGTTGGCGGCTAATCAGAAACATTACTTCGCGGAAAAAGATCTTGAAAAACTCACCTCAGCAAACTCATGAAATATTCAATTGATTCGCTGATTGTCAATAAGATAGATATTTGTTGGATATTACCCCGTTATATGTAGAGAAGTTTATAAACAATAAATGTTATTTATTATGATTCATATTAATATGTATATTTGCTGTCGTTAGGATGGTTATTCGTTATAATAATAACAGAAATTCCTATAACTATAACAAAGATTATCATTCTTCTGACAAGTTTCACTATATCCAAAGTCTCAATACCAGTTATACACATATAGCTGCTATTAACGCTAGATAAAATGGAAACATTATGGGGAGACCACCTATTTATTGGCTCTAATTGACTATCAGGTGATCCACATGTGATACAAAATCAGACGCGTCTGCTAACGGATAAGGTATTTGTGGAAAAGCTTGTTGCAACAATAATTATTAGAATTTCTTCATTTTCTACATGATCCGACTTGATGTTCTCATATAACAATACACGAATCCTAACGAATTAATAGAACTTGCATAACTGCGAACATGGCGAGATTTAGGGATCGGATTATCGTCAGCAAGAACGCATTAACCACGTGAGCTAGAAAACTTACTCTTAGAGTTAAGGCTAAGTATAGAGCTAAATCCCAAGGTCAGCTGATTATTGTCTCCCTCTTCAGCTGGCATGACCACCCAACGAGTTGAAATAAGGCAAATTCCTAACAAAATATTAATTTAAACAACTGATTAAAATTATATTGTATATACTGTTCAATTGTAACGCGCAAAACCGGTCCAATTCTTACCTGATTATTGCGGCCTACCTTGGACAAAGGTGTTGACCAGTATAGGTTATACGCCATCTACGCTCACGAACTTCCGCAGTGATTACGTAAGTGAGACTTTACACCTTTTCACATCGTGATGGTAATGCCGAAAAAATTGCGGAGACCTTATATAGAAAAGTAAGATCATTTAGCTTCAGAATGGTATAAATTTTATTAGCAGCTATCTAATACAATATGGAATATTTATGTTCACAGTAATTTAATTCGAGGCCAGAAAATTTTGTTTACAATATTTACAATAGGTCAAATTTGAGAAGGTTCACTGTGTATTAATAATCATTGTTATTACTGAACGGTCGTTAATTCGAACTGTACGTCGATACCACAGAATGCATGCGGGGAGCTGGCCTTATTTCTACGGATACATATATAAGTATGTATTCTCGAATTATAAAATGTCCAGTGAAGTATCTTACGCATATAACTATTAAATTACTTGTCACCCCATTAAATACGATTCACCCGTCAACGACAACCTTGTTTCGTTAGGAGTTGTATTCGAGACCAGTTAGCAAATTATGCAAAAATTCGACTGAATGGTAATTGATAGCATTAGGAAATTACATACATAATGTACGCCTGAATATTAATATTTCATTGCATTAACCATATTCTAAAAACAAATAATAATAAATACGGTAAACTTGCGAAAGAAATGTCTTATGTAGTTCCGACCAATCAGGGGTTTAGTACAACTTCTCGCAACTTTAATGTGAACGTATGCCCCCGAACTCGACGAGCACAACATTGGTTTATGAGTGATAACATCTTGAGAGAACCAACTACAGTAACATGTACCAAACGTATAATTACAATGCCGCACTTTGACAGACGTCAACGCTGCCATCTACTATCGCGAGGGACTTAACGCTGCCATCTACAAAAGTAGCATTCACTCATATTCATTATTCTTTGGGGATACCTCATATTACATAGTATCATTATTAGCTGCGGAGGAGCGTGATAATATATAGTCAACTTTATCAAGCGTCTGTTACAGTAGAAATAATTTATATAGTAAGCGAACAAAGGCTTCCAATGTCTTGGGGCATAAAACTCCGGATTACGAACCCAGCCAAACTCCGTAACTCCGAACTCACAGCCATACGAAATTACCATTCTTAGGCGCTCAAGGTCGGACAACTTTCTATAAACCAACAACCGGACTAGAACAGATCGTGATCGCGTAATCGGTTGCGTAATCACTTTTACATATTTAACTTGTTCCTTTGTCTTCTCCTGACATCAGGTATAAAAACTTTTTGGTGTGGACTGTTTGAACTAGAAAATCCAACACTTTTCAAACACACATCTTTGCAACGAGTTGGTTGCTTTGTTGATAAAATACTTGGAGTTTTTACTGAAAAAGATACAGCCAGATAGACGATAAAATGGTAGAAGGCAAAGGAAAATTACCGTACGTGTCTCTGTTTATGTTAAAAACTTGATATTTACCTGAAAACGCTATTGTATGGTGTTTCGGTTGTCGCATTCTGAGCATCTTAATATACATTTAATTGAATAGGTCAACTATTCGATAACGTTTGTCGTATATGTTGACTTGCTATGTTTATAAGTCCTTTTTAATTGCAATACGCTATCGAGGACTTCTATTCCCAAATTTGCAGAACTCAATTAATCATATTTCCGTTGTTTTGTATTTATTTCTTGTCATTATGTAGTGAGGGCGAATCCAGCAATCCGACAGAACCGGACCCCTCTCACGATCCAGCAACCGCAATATTACGAAAAAAACCAGCTCCGAATAAACTTATTGTCGATGACGCTACGAAAGATGACAACTCGGTGATGACACTGTCTCCAGCAACTATGGAGAAATTACAATTATTCCGTGGGGATACTGTCTTGATAAAAGGGAAAAAAAGACGTGATACTGTTCTCATTGTATTGGCTGATGACGATTGCGAAGATTCTAAAGTTAGGATTAATAAAGGTATGCATGAAGCGTCCCAGAGCGACGCAGATAATTGGGGAAGAAAATCAAGAATGAATTGGTGTTTTAAGTCATCGCTTACGAACTAAAACTTCATATTGTGTTACGCTCAGTCGTTAGAAACAATCTTCGTGTGCGTCTAGGTGATATTGTATCAATTCATCCGTGTCCCGATATTAAGTATGGCCGTCGCATCCAAGTACTACCAATTGATGATACAGTTGAGGGCGTGACAGGAAACCTATTCGACGTATATCTTAAACCATACTTCCAGGAAGCATATCGGCCAGTTCGAAAAGATGATCTCTTCCTTGTTAGAGGTGGTATGCGGGCCGTAGAGTTTAAAATTGTAGAGACCGATCCAGCGGACTATTGTATAGTAAGTAAATCATGACGTTGTATAATTGTCTGTCTGCTAAACCTTATCAGTTATATATAATTGATTCCTAATTTCAGGTTGCACAAGACACAGAAATATATTGTGAAGGCGACGCAATCAAGCGAGAGGATGAAGAAGCAAATCTTAATGATGTAGGCTACGATGATATTGGTGGATGTAGAAAGCAGATGGCTCAGATACGTGAATTGGTTGAATTGCCTCTCCGTCACCCACAATTATTTAAATCAATCGGTATAAAACCACCAAGAGGTATTCTTATGTATGGCCCACCTGGTACCGGGAAAACATTGATTGCACGTGCAGTAGCCAACGAAACTGGCGCGTTCTTCTTCCTTATTAATGGGCCTGAGATAATGTCGAAGATGGCTGGTGAATCAGAGAGCAATCTAAGAAAGGCATTCGAAGAAGCAGAAAAGAATAGCCCTGCTATTATTTTCATTGACGAGATTGATGCCATTGCTCCTAAGCGAGAGAAGGTAGATTTGTTTAATTTTTGTAGCCGATATACATTACTATTTGTTGTGCCACAATAACGATTACTATTGTCCACGTCCTTGTTTAGACAAATGGCGAAGTCGAACGTCGGGTTGTTTCACAGTTATTAACATTAATGGACGGCATGAAAGCTCGCTCTAACGTGGTTGTCATGGCAGCCACCAATCGACCCAATAGCATCGATCCAGCATTACGACGCTTTGGTCGGTTTGACCGTGAAATCGATATTGGTATTCCCGACCCTACTGGACGGTTAGAGATTCTCCGCATTCACACAAAGAACATGAAACTAGATGAAGATGTTGATTTAGAGCAGATAGCTGGCGAAACGCACGGTTATGTAGGATCGGATATAGCTTCACTATGCTCTGAAGCGGCTATGCAGCAGATAAGAGAGAAGATGGATTTGATTGATTTAGAAGATGAAACTATTGATGCCGAAGTCCTGGATTCTTTGGCTGTCACCATGGACAACTTTAGAGTAAGTAGGACTAGGGTGTCATTTATATTGGATTAAGCAATAGTAATTACATGCGAAGAAGAGCAATTTTTCATAACGCTCAATTTTTATTATATAGTATGCATTAGGTGCATCAAATCCTTCAGCGCTTCGAGAAACTGTTGTCGAAGTGCCTACGGTCACCTGGAACGATATTGGTGGTTTAGAAAAAGTTAAACAAGAATTACAGGAAACTGTACAATACCCTGTGGAGCATCCTGACAAATTCCTCAAATTTGGTATGTCTCCTTCAAAGGGTGTTCTGTTCTATGGACCACCCGGATGTGGTAAAACACTTTTAGCCAAGGCAATTGCTAATGAATGTCAAGCCAACTTCATCAGCATTAAGGTAAACCGTCCTAATGACATAATCTTAGTAATGACGTTAGCTTTAACGATGCACTTTATTTACGTTCATTCATTCCTTACCTTGTTCTATTATAGGGCCCTGAACTGTTAACCATGTGGTTCGGTGAGTCGGAAGCTAATGTTCGAGACGTTTTCGATAAAGCACGAGCGGCAGCACCCTGTGTCATGTTCTTTGACGAACTGGATTCTATTGCGAAGTCTCGTGGTTCGTCTGCTGGTGACGGAGGCGGAGCCGGCGACCGTGTGCTCAACCAAATTCTAACAGAAATGGACGGAATGAATGCTAAGAAAAACGTGTTCGTCATTGGTGCCACAAATCGCCCTGACCAAATCGATCCAGCATTACTTCGACCTGGACGTCTAGATCAATTAATTTATATTCCATTGCCCGACGAGCCATCTCGTTTGAGCATTTTGAAAGCAACCTTACGTAAATCGCCCGTGCGTGAAGACGTCGACTTGGCGTACCTGGCCAAAAACACAGATGGATTCTCTGGGGCTGATTTAACAGAAGTTTGTCAGAGAGCTTGTAAACTGGCTATTAGGGAGAGCATTGAAAAGGAGGTAGAGCGAGAAAGAATGAGAAGAGAAAGGGCAGAAGATGATAATGAAGAAGAAGAATATATGGATGAAGATGATCCGGTTCCTAAAATTACAAAGTAAGCTATCAGCAAATATTGTTTCTACTGTTGAATGACGTTTACGCCATGTACATATTATTAACCGTATATTTCTTGTCCACAGAACTCACTTCGAAGAAGCGATGCGATTCGCTCGTCGCTCAGTGTCAGCTAACGACCTTGCCAGATACGATATGTTCGCTCGGAACCTCCAGCAATCCCTTGGCTTCGGTGCTGCGTTTAAATTCCCTGAAACGACAGAATCCACTGAGAGCGGTACAGGAGCAGGCGAGGATGAGGATCTTGCTTCTATATATGAATAGGTACTACGGGAACGTTTAATGTTTGAGAATAACGTAAAATAATAAATTTAAAAAGTTGTCAATAATGTCATGTCAAAAAAGACAGCAAATTAAAGGACTTGTTGCAATTACATCTGTAATTTGGAATTGCATAGAATATGTACTCCACATTGATTATTTTATTAAATTTAACCTTGGATTAGACGCTGGATATATATAATCGCAAAGAAACTTAGGTTACTATGAAAAATGGAAACGGATTGGTATAATATAAATACTTCAAGTATCAATTGTGAACAATATGAATGCATTATAAAAAGAAGGAAATTGCAGTGTCAAGGCATCTAACATTACATCAGTCTTCTGCAAGTTCCATAACATAAGCATAGCTTCTTCTACAACACAACTATTATTCCTGCACGATGTGCAGACTTAATTTCTACGAATAACCGACTAAATCTCCTGGCTCGGCTACATAAATTAGAAACTTCTATTCACTATCGTCGTATCAAAGCCAGCCATCCTGTTCCGGTTTATGAAGAGATACACGGGCATGTTGAAAGTCACCTTTTATCGCGATGCAGCTTTATTATGTATTTCCCCGTATGATTAACGCGTGCGATCATTTAGGTTGGTTATTCCAACGACAATACCCATAATTTTGTAACCGCATGTCGTTTTGTCTGTAGCATTAGCATGCATCCTACTATCAATGTTACTAAATTTCGTTAGGAAGCTGACTAAAGGCTAGAACGAAAATTAAACCAGCAAATAAAGTTTGCATTTGGCGAATAAGCTTACCAGGAAAAGAGAACAAAAAGATGAACCAATTATCGAGCAACACGGATTCTTCACCATACATACAATTATTCTCTGTATCTTTCTTGCCGATGAACCTAATTAATTTTTATTACGTCACGATACGCAGTATTACATGGGAGTATGCTAACATTCTAGGCGTTTGCATGAGGACATGCAAACCCCCTTATCTCAAAGTATGGCAAGAAGGTGGCATAGTGCTTTGCAAGATGATAATAAGTAATCGCGACATTTCTTAATCGTTTCACAAACTGACTTAGAAAAGAATCGGTAGTAATAGTAAAGGCACATTTTATATTTTAATTAATTTTATTATTTAATATTACACGTCAATAGTTTAAGTTGACGTAATTAGTAATATGGTTATAAGAAATATTAGCTTAATTGACTACCTACTCCGTAATTGGATATGCAACAATACATTTTCCTAAGCATACCAGTTGTCTTGCCCAAACGTTAACGCAAAATCAGCAAATGGAGTAAAGTAATTTATCTTTTAATAATATTAATATTCAAATAACATCTTCAAAGTAAGCGCAGATTTATTCTTTTATTGTTATACTTAATTTGGTAAACAGTATACTAATATGTGTCTGGGGAATTTACCCACATTCCCGTGTAAATGTTGTGTAATACGGGAGTGTGATGTGGTAAACTTTTGGTTTTTGTTGCACACATCCTCAACATTCGACTGTTTTGACAAACCATGGCAACTACCAACTTGGAGAAATTCCTTGAATACGTCGAGAATAACCAGGAACACTATGTTCAACGACTTCGAGAAGCTGTAGCTATACCAAGGTAGATTTTACGGCTTACTCTAAATAGTGGATAAAATACTCATATATACCCTCGTGTTTGTGGGCGTGAGAAAATATATACACAAGAGTCACATACAAGAGTCAACGCGAGACGAACCGTTTTATCTGTCTACCCTTTGAACGGAATTTCGGGAGTTCCGTTGGCTTAGGTTTCTGAATTGGTTACCTTGGCAAAGTATGGAAGTAGATACCATTGACACCATATACGTCAGTCATAGTATCAGGGGGTGATTCTGAAGAGATAATTCTATTTTCATAAAAATGACAACGAAGCACTGTTCATTAATAATAGTGTGAGCTCCGACGCAGCTTACCGCGAGCATGTATTCAAAATGGGAGAATATCTAGGAAAACTGTGCGAGAGTCTTGGCATTAGGTATTAACACGCTCATGTCACTTGTTGTATATGAGTTTCAAAAAAGTTGATATGTTTTATCATTCTGCAAGTTATGAAGCTCGTGACGTTGGAACTCAAGAGTTGGATGGTAAGACTCTCCAATTGCCGCCTATTATTCTAGGCACATATGGCAATGATCCCAATAAGCCGACTATCCTTGTCTATGGACATTATGACGTTCAACCTGTGAGTAGTAGGAGATCCGGAAAGCAATTGCTATATCTTGTGTACGTTATTAAGAGACTCCTTATTTCCTCTACAAGGCCCTGCTTGAAGATGGTTGGTCAAGCGATCCCTGGGTGCTAACCGAAGACAGCAGCGGTCGATTGATGGGACGAGGAGCGACCGATGATAAGGGTCCTGTACTTACATGGTTCAACATAATTGAGGCACACCAGAAATTGGGTTTAGAGTTACCAGTGAATTTGAAGATGTGCTTTGAAGGTTTGCTGCTGCCATGTAACACTTGATTTTGATAACATGATTATAGTTGTTACAATAGATCATCCATTATTTTGGGATAATGCATTTTGCAATTAGGCATGGAGGAGAGTGGATCGGAAGGTCTCGACGAACTAATTCAACAAGAGGCTGATAAATACTTTAAAGGAGTCGATGCAGTCTGTATTTCTGACAATTATTGGTTGGGAATAACAAAGCCCTGTCTGACTTATGGCTTACGAGGTAAACACTTGGAACACGTAATTTGCCCAGTTTTAACGCCAGCTGCATGGATAACACTATATCACATTCTGCAGGCATATCTTACTTCAAGCTGACGGTCTCCGGCCCTGGAAAAGACCTTCACTCTGGTGTATTTGGTGGTACAGTTTACGAACCAATGACTGATTTAACCTATTTGATGGGTAAACTTGTTAAGCCAGATGGTACTCTTCTTGTACCCGGGATTTACGATAATGTGGCGGCATTGACTGGTCGGTATGAGCTTGTTAATTACGACAATGTACATATAGTGCATAGCGATCATTAATTGACGAACGTTTGGCTTAATACAATGCTTCAATAGAGGAAGAAAAGGCTATCTATGGAAAGATTGACTTTAAAATGCACGAACTTCATGCTGCAGTTGAATCGGATACTTCTATTTATTCAAGCGAATCAGAGACACTAATGTATCGGTAAGGCTCGGTATTCGTTATTTGCATGGGATCAAATGCATCGAATAGGCGATTACATGTCCGAATATTATCCGCATGTGTAGACTTTGACATTTGGATCTGAATTCTAAAACAAATTTGTACGATACATCCTGGCTGTAATACTTAACAAGTGGAATTCTATTTTATCCAAACATTGTTATGCAACCAGCTGGCGCTATCCATCACTTTCACTCCACGGCATTGAGGGAGCGTTTTCAGCTCCGGGTGCAAAAACTGTAATTCCGGCGAAAGTACATGGAAAATTCTCTATTCGATCGGTTCCAAACATGGATCCCGAACGTATCACCGAACTCGTCACGAAGTATCTAAATGATGAGTTTGCAAAATTGGGAACCAAGAACAAGATGACTGTTGAGTGTATCCACGGAGCCAAGCCATGGGTCTCAAATCCTGATCATTGGAACTATGGTTAGTAAATCGGATGAATTGTACTTGTAGCAGCTCAGTTTCTCTGATTATTAATTGTGTTTTATTACTATTGAATAGTTGCTGCTGCAAAGGCCACTGAGACTGTGTTCAACGTGAAACCTGACCTTACCAGAGAAGGAGGGTCTATTCCTGTAACACTTACTTTCCAGGATGCATTGAACACAAATGTCTTATTGCTACCCGTTGGCCGAGGGGTAAGTAAACATGATTAGGTTGAAATGCATAAACGATGTATAGTCATATCATACTAATTTCTTTACTCTTCTTGTTGCATTGTTTGGAAACAAGGATGATGTAAGTGCAAAACATGAATATTGAGTTTGAGTTGGTTTATATATTATTTTCATAAGGGATAACACTAAATGTATGTTTATTCATTCAGGGTGCACATTCTATCAATGAAAAGCTTGACAAATCAAACCTTGTCAGTGGAACTAAACTTCTTGGGGCATACCTATACGAAGTGGCTGCCATTGAGAGAAAATAATGATTAAATTAATTTAACAAACTGAATTATTTCATTTCTTAAAAGTTGGTGGTTCGATGTATCCTAAGTCTTGAAAAAAAATTATTGCAAAACTTGGAGAATAAAAGAACCTAATGAATATTTAGCAACAAATATTTAGCAGCTGATATTTGTCAACGCAATATCATTGATGTATGCAGAAATATGTATTAAAGGAAGGATTATTCTATTCAAATTTGACAGTATGACAAATTTAGAGTGATAGGGTTGAAATCAACACAACCTCATTCATCTGCGAAGACATCAATCCATGACACGAAGTCCAGAGACTTTTTGATTGGCTACTTGATTTCATCCATCGAGACTATCATTAATATATTATCTTTAGCATACAAGTGAAGTTTTAAAATGCATTCTTCGCAGATTAACAAGCGTTGGTATTAGTGTGTTGACGAAGTTATTAATAACTTAAGGACGCATTCTTACTTTGCATAATGTGCACAATTTTACTGCTTAAACTATGAACACTTGGAAGAAAAGAGCCTGTAGACGTTGTATTGAGGATTGTGGAAATAAAGTAGTTGACAAGTGTAAGAGATCCAAGAAGAGTTGAACTAAAGTTTGATATATCAAATAAGATTCGTTGTTGGTAACTGCAACTATTATGGCTGCTTTAGAGCTGGGGACTTTGGACAGATCGATGTAGAATTCATCTTACTGTTCCACGCGACTCTGCAACGTGGCAAGTATCCCAGATTTAAGGTCCATTTTTGGGTGCACGAGGATGATTGCATTGGTTGGAGGAATGTCCTTATAGATGAAGAAGAAATATGAGACAACGCGTTCATAGTAAAAAATCAGGTGTGCAAGTAAAAAACCAAGTACCCATTTTATTTTATTTGCATTGT